TCTTTCTCATACATCTGAATGGTGAACTGATTTCAAGAATGAATCATGCATGTTTATATTAGCCAGCTTCTGGGTTGAGTGTGCGGAGATGCAGAGAGATTAAGATATGAAGAGAGAAAGAGAGACGGAGAGATACACATACATAGAGGGAGGGTCACAGAGGGAGAGTAGTGAGACAAAAAGAGATACAGAGATTGGGGAGACACAGCAGTAGACAGGTAGACAGACAGAGAAACAAAGCGGGAGGAAGACTGTGAAAGAGAGCGACACACACAGATACAGAGATTGACACAGAGAATCTGAATGAGCGCCAACCTCCTTTCCCTCTCCATCCTACAGAATGATTCCCAGCTTGCTAGAGGATTCGGTGATGTGTAACCCTCTTCTTTGCCTCCTTGAATAACGTATCACCCCAAAAACCTCTGCTTCTCGACAAGCTCAATAAATTCTCAGCAAATGGAGCAGGTCCTAAATGATGTAATGGTGCATAGGACCCCACCCTATAAACAAAAACCAACTAGATTATATTGGAAATGTTGCGAGCTTGGGAAATGTGGACCTTCCTTAACTGTTTGTTACCTGTTTTGATTTTGTGTGGAAGGAACTGAAAACTAAGGGTATTGAGGTTAAACCATAGACAGCATTTAGATAACATTGTTATTCACTTCTGTTCAACTAATATTCCAGCATTGTTCATAAATTGGCTGGTCTTTTGCTTAAGCTACAAGCCAGTGTTGAGAGCCACTTATTTGCAAAGTTCTGGGATTGGTTTCTCAAAAGTCTGTTCAGAAAATATTGGGGTTAATTCCTACCACCGCCCCTGGCAGCGTGTCTCGGAGACATACCACCCTAAGTGCATAAAAAACAAACATCGCACATCTCGTTTAAACTTGCTCCCTCACATCTTGCTTCCTAACACTTGACATTTCGACGCTGGGAGTAAAATGGTCTGACTATCCACCGCATCCATGCCTCTCACAGTTTTGTGTAACTCCAGCAGGTCGCCCCACAGCCTCTGATGCACCAGCGAAAACAATCCAAGTTAGACCAACCTCTCTTTATAAATCACATCACCCTCCCCCTCAACACCTCTGAGGTGACAAATCAAGTCAATTTGGAACACACTTATTGAACACGATGAGGTGTTCACCCTTCTAGACCCTTACCCTGCACCTACACAACATTGTTCACTGTGGAATGTCACAGGCGTCAATTATATCTTCACTCATCGACCCGAGAGTCACGACATGGTAGTTTCCTGGCGCTAGTGCAGTGCGAATATTACTTGCCAATCGTCAGCCCAAACATGACATTGCCCACATCTTGCTGCATTTGAACACGGACTGTTTCAGCATCGTGAAGAGTGAATCCCAGGATGCCGATAGTGTGTGAGGTGTGGAATTTGAGCAATAGCAAGACCATTGAACACCAAGAGGTAGATTCTGTCTCAATGGGAACATCCCAGATGTTGGTAGTTTCAATGATGGTAATACCATTGAACATCAAGGGGATGATGGTTAAATTGCCGCTCAATGGTAATCCCCACAATGTCGACAGTGAGATAGATTCAGTGATGCTTGGCTCAATGGTCCGATTCTCTCTCAAAGGTAACCCCTAGGATGTTGATAGTTTTTGGGAGGCAAGGGTTCAGTGATGGCAACAACATCGAACGTCATGGGGGCTATCGTTAGATTTTCTCTCAATCGCACCATGTTGATCGTGGGGGTAATTCAGTGATGGTAACAAAATTGCAAAAACAAGAAGTGATAATTGGTGTGTCTTTGGTGAGCGGTGAGCCAGTGGATTTCTCTGCCACAGAAAGGGGTCAGGGGCAAAGTATTCTATGCTTTTAAGAAGGTTTTGGTTGTCGTTATCCAGGGCTAAAGCGTATGGGGGAGAAATCAGGGAACAAGGGATTGAGTTGGATGATCAGCCACGATGCCATTGAATGGCAGAACAATCTTGTGGGGCCGAATGGTCTCACTCCAGCTCCTTTTATTCTGTGTTTGGAGAAGGAAATGGGATCCTGCGAGAACGGCGGCAGTGTTTTTGGGGACAGTGCATGTGCTGAGCTGTTTAAAGAACATTTTCTGGCATTTCATGCAAACGGAGGGGTATGTGCTGGTGAACCAATCCTGGTTTTGTCTGATTAGAATGTACGCTATCAACTCACCATTCTGGGTAGCAATGGTGCCTGCCTTCAGCATTTTAAACCCAGGCGTCCCATTTCTCCCCATCCTGTTGTTGAATGTTTTTTGCCATCAGAAACATTCCCGCGACCAGCAGAGCCCGCAGGAGACTCTGGGCCCCCAGCAGCAGGGAGAGCCCCAGAGATCGAGAGTCGAAGAAAATCCATCATTTTACTGATGGTTTCTATACTCTATAGATCCGAATGTTCTTTTTCGGCTTCCAGACGCTGTATCTACATGGTTTTGTGATGGAATTAAGATTCAGACTGCTGAGCTGTTGCACTAACACTGGGATTTATGCTGTGACTCAGACAATGTCCAGAGGCAGCCCTGATATGTCCCATTGGTATCGTCCTTAAAATCACAAATAGATTAATACAACTGAAGGATAAATAACAGCGGCAATCGATCTTTCTCATAATGCTGAACAGTGAACTGACCACCCTCGAACCAATGATACAGACTCACTGCAGTTGGTTCCTCGTTGGAGTTTGTGAATATGCAGAGGGAGAGGCACGGAGAGGGGGAGAGAGCGAATGAGAGAGAGCGACAGAGGGAGAGAGAGAGACTGAGTGAAAAAGACAGACAGTCAGAGAGAGAGCAAGAGAGTGAGAGACAGATGGAGTGGGATACCGGGAGTGAGTTACAGGATGCAGGAATAGAGAGAGACAGAGTCAGAGAGAGACAGAGACTGAGGGAAGCAGAGTGATAGAGTCGGAGAGAAAGAGATTGAGAGGAAGACACACACACACAGGCACAAACACACAGAGAGAGAGAGAGACACACACACAGGCACAAACACAGAGAGGGAGAGACACGCACAGGCACAAACACAAAGAGAGAGAGAGAGACAGACACAGAGAGAGAGACAAACACACACAGGCACACAGAGAGAGACAGGCACACAGAGAGAGAGACACACACACACAGGCACACAGAGAGAGAGAGAGACACACACAGGCACACAGAGAGAAAGAGAGAGAGAGGCACACACACAGGCACACACAGAGAGACAGACACACACACAGGCACACACAGAGAGAGACACACACACACAGGCACAGAGAGAGAGAGAGACACACACACACACAGGCACAGAGAGAGAGAGAGACACACACACACAGGCACAGAGAGAGAGAGAGAGAGAGACACAGGCACACAGAGAGAGAGAGAGACACA